CCTTCTCACCCTACTTCAAGTAATCTGAACCAACCATCTGATCTGATTTCCAAACACTCGATGTCTCTGAAATATTTAAATTATCATTTCTCGCCAAAATCATTGGGAATTTTTCTTCTTTCTTCCATCTTTAGATCATTATGATCCATTCCACAATCAAATTCTTGATACTCCAAGATCTCCCTTGCACCCATAAAACCTTTACCTTTCTCCATATCTGACCACCCAGATTACTTCATAAAGTTGTTCTCCATTAGCACATAATCAATCACCTTAACAACTCTACCTACATGCTTTTAACCACAATCTTCAACATCCATAGCCATAAAACCTTTACCTTTCACCTTTCTCATATGTTTTCTCTAAATAAACAAAAATCATATGTAGATCCTCCTTACTCTCTCTATATTTCACCATCAAACCTCTCAAAAAAGTATGGCTTCCATAATAGAAATACCCGGCATGAATTCAAATTGATTTTGCAAAATTTTTCAACAAAAAACATCTACAATATGAACCCTAAATCTAATGTTTAAAAAGAAATTAAAAAAAAAAACTAAGGGGACGGGAGGGAGGCGGAAACTCGCGGTCAAAAAGCACGCTTTCCCCGGCGACGAATGCGGTGATCGTTGGCGACGTCCAGTGATCAGTCGGCGACGTCGATCTACGGCGAGCAGACGGAGGGCGACGAGGGAGAAAAAATTGGTGAGAGAAACGAACGAAAGAAATGAGCAGCCGTCGGGCTCGTGTTTGGAAATAGGGTTTACGCCGGCGGATTTTCCGGCGTCCCAGACGTTGGAAACATTTCCAGCGCAAAATGCGTCGGTCCTAAGTCGTTGAGTTTAAATATGCCGACGTTTTATCCGCCGGTAACTGCCCCGGTACTTTTCCGCCGCAAAGTGCGCAGCAAAAATAAATTGCTGTTATTAACCGGCGTAGTTTCCGGCACAATGTTCGTCGGTATGTTACCGGTGTCATATGCGCCGGAAAATACGCCGTAGATATTCCTTCGTATTATGCGCCGCTGCAGGCGTCGTGTGTTCCGACGCAATTGTATCCGCCGATAAACGCGTGTTTTCCTGTAGTGTAATGTCCAAAACCTCTCTTTTAAATTGTTATTTTAAATTATAAAAATATTTTCAAAATTGTTTTGAAATTATTTTAATTAAAAATTTTCGTAGGGAACTCCAATTCCCTACGATGTAATTAACTATATACTAGGGGTTGAGCTCATAGAAGATTTAGAATTCACATCCACCTTTTTTAAAATTAATTTTCATAACTCAAAATTAGTCTTTTTTGCAAAAATTGAATCAACAACGATCATTATCGTCATATTCCATCAATCAATAGTAAGTGATATTTTCTTTCTTTGAAGAGACATATCTCTCTATTGTGATTTAGAATATAAAATTAATTATCTCTCATCTAGATTATAGTGATTGAATATTGACATTATTTCATTATGTAATTCTTCCATCATGATGAAATTTTTAGTTTTTGTTATTTGAACCCGTTAGCGAACGATATCTTTGCCTTTAGAGGTAATATTTCGTTTATAACAAGGCGTTCGATTTTGAGACTATAAGTTTAAAATCAAATTTCCCAAATAAGATTAAGCTTTTTTAAAAAATTCCACCAACATAGAAAATCAAAATTTTCAAAACTCAATTATTATTTCTTTTGGAAAATCAAATTTATAAAGATCGTTATCATCATAATCCAATGATTGCTAACGGATGATATATTCTTTCTTTTGGAAGATATATCATGTGTTAATATAAATTTGAATATGAAATTAACGATCGCTTCTCTTAATTATTGTACTCCGATATTTTACTGAACTTCATTTAGACCCTCCAGGATCATATGTGATTCTCTCATAAATCAGGCTACGATATTCAAGAGAAAATCCACAATTCTGGATCTGAACCTATTAGGAGATTTTACTTCTGCCTTCTAAGGTGGTATATTATCTCTAATGGTCCGTTCGACTTTAAAATTGAAATTTAAATTTAATTCTTGATTTTCCAAAAAAAAAAAAAATATTAAGATTTATTTTACATCTTGCAAGGCAATTATCCTTTTCAAACACCAGCACACCTCTATCGAACAATTATTAGGTCTGGACACAGGACATAGCTCTACATCCGGAGGCCAATAACATGTCGCTACGTGCTCTTACTCTTTACCGCGCGGCCTGATGACCCGACCCAGACCGGAACCTGGTATTGTTATGTTTGCATATTACTAGGTATTGCTCGGTATTGCTAGGTATTTGCTTGACAATAACGAGAAATACTGCTCTGTCAAGACCAATACATAGCAATACCGAGTAATACCTTGCAATACCGAGCAATACTTAGCAAAATCGGGATATTGCTAGGTATTGGTCTTAACATAATGCTATTTCTCGTTATTGCCGAGTAATATCGAGCAATACCTAGCAATACCCCGGTCTACACAAATCAGCCAATACATAGCAATCCCGAGTCCGGTCCGATTCGGGTCGGGTCGTCGGGCCACGCGGTAAAGAGTAAGAGCACATGACACCTTTTTACTGGCGTCCAAACATAGAGCTACATCAGGTGACCAGACCAAATAAAAGTTCCATTTTTAGAGGGGAATTGGAGCTAGCCTTGCTATATGAATGATGAAACTCGGCCAAATCTATTGAATTTGCTCTATTCAAATGCGGATAATAAATTCTTTTTTTAAAGAAATATTTAATCATTTCCATAAGGGTTACGAATCTCTGCTCAAAATTTTGCCTTTTATAGGTAAATTTTTTATCTCTATTTGGAGGAAAAGAAGGCTTCTAGAGGAAATTATCATTTCTTATATGCCCTATAGGATTGTGTATATAAGATTTATAACAAAGAAAAGAACTAAATTTTCAATAAACATCTTAGATTTTTTTTTGGATATTTTTAGAATTTTAAAGGCCAATTTATCAAGTATTCCACTTTGGAGGATTCTTTTTTATGGAAAATAATTAAAGGTATCAGATATATGCGTGCATGTTGCGCGTATTGTGACTATAGCGCCTCTGATGATAGGCCCGTGGCTTAGTTTTTAGAAATATATTATTGCCTTGAAAGGCCTTTTAATTTAGATTTTTTTTAAGCAATATATTATATACTAATTAAAAGCTTTCAAAACTAACTCTAATACTTATTTTTTCAAAAAAAAAATCATAATTGAAATGAACAACATTATAAGACAAAGCCATCAATACCAAAAATGTTTTGATTGGAGACCAAATGCATCAAAATCAAGCCCTCAAAATTAAATAGTTGGAATTTTCTCAATGCTATATAGGTTCAAATGTCCTTTGAATCTTAAGTTCTTATCCCAACAGAATATTTTAGTGTAGAGATTTGTATAGCTAGGAACATTCTAAAACTGAAATAGAGAGAGAGAGAATGAAATTGAAAGCCAATCATCTATTTGAATTATTTGTACTTTTTTAACTTTTAAGTGAATTATGACAAATTCACACTCACATCAAATACGCAAGCTTCTCCGGTTCGGGTCGGGTCGTCGGGCCGAGCGGTAAAGAGTAAGAGCACATGGCACCATTTTACTGGCGTCCGTACGTAGAGCTACGTCAGGACACCGGACCTAATAAAAATTTCACCTCTATTTATTATATTTGGAAGGAATGTAACAGAAGGAAGTTTAGGCATATTTTTCATAGCACCACTTATGTCTTAAGGAAAATTAAACGGGTTGCTCACTTGAAAATGTCTAGATGGAAATGCTGGGAAAGATTTTGTTCAGTTTTCCAATAGTTTGTGCTTGGATTTATTATTGTCACTATGTTGTTCTTGCCGCTGAGGTGTACGTTCTATCATGCCCTGGGTATCATCTGAGTCCCCAACCCTTTTTGAGGATCACTTTGTTTTTCTCCATATTTGTTAACATCTTCTATCTTTTTATACCTTTCAAGTTTTGTTCAATTTACTCTTTTGAAGTTCTGTAATTGGAGTGATTGGACTTTCTTTCTTGTAATATTCTTACATCAATGGATATGGGTCCTAAAAAAAAACCTAATTATCATACTATTCAGCGTGTTACATCAAAATTCTTTTTTGTAAAGACATTTAAGTTAGTTAAGGCAAATTCATACACATATTACATACGCAAGCTACAAATCCAAGATCTGCTCTCAATCAATAGATCAAAAAGAGATATGTGTCACATTAGAATTCTAAAGAGTTCCTTGATAGTTATATTAAGCATAAAGCTCATCTTCACGGAGTTTTGGCTATTTTTATTCAAAACTTATGTATGTGATGTGTATATGAGTTTATTTTAATTAGCTCAAAAGACTCATAAAAAGTTATATCGAACTATTTATGTAATAATTAAAAAGCTATTTATAAAATTAATTTTAAACAATTTTTTAAATATAACTTATAAGATTTTTTAAATGAAATAAAGCCTTGATTTAACATTGGGCTCAATGTCTTTCGATCCTATATCTAATTAAATAAAAATTGATTATTATTAGGCTCTATTTGTGTTTATTATTTCTCATCAATTTTGATTTTCTTTAATTTTTTTTAACTACAAAAAATATTTATATCATAATTATATTATGAATGCATATATTTTTAAACTTAATCATATACATAAATATATATTTATATTAATTTACATAGATAATTAGATATATATTTCAACTTATTGTGAAGCTAATTTGATTAGATTTATAATTTATTTGGCAAATTTTTTAACTTGCTTTATTTTTATATAGCAACTATAATTTTGTTTAATTATTATTTTCTTATTATTTTTAATATTTTTAAAAAATCTCTATAATAAAATATTATTTTTACAAAATAATTTCATAATTAATTTTATAAATACTGCAATAATAACAAACAAACTCAAACTCAACGTAATTTAGATTTCATTTGATTGAAATTTCTCTCAGTGATTGATTTAATTATCAAATTCAATTCAAATATAATTGAATGCCTCTATTGAGAACTTTTTGGTGCTCCCACTGTCTTCTTCCATGCCTAACAGATAAGCATTCACAAATCCCAAAACAACGCAGACAAGAGACCAATTGCTCTACTGAGTACGCAGCTTTTTCCACTCAAACCCACTAATAATCTCCTCACGCTCTTCAATTTTTCATCCATGGCTCTCTTTCTTCTTCTTCTTCCTCTCTTCTTCCTCTCATCACTAGCTAATTCCCTTCCCATCTTATTTCCAAGAGCTCCTCAAAGCTTATTAGCAAATTTATCTGAATCAAATAAATATCCCAATCTTCCTTATTCTGCTCATTATTTTCCTCAGCAGTTGGACCATTTCTCTTACCAGCCTAAGTCATATACAATTTTCTATCAGAAATATCTTATGAACTCCACTTTTTGGGAGAGAGGAGAGCCAATCTTTGTTTATACAGGCAACGAAGGAGATATTGAATGGTTTGCTGCTAATACTGGATTCATGATGGATATTGCCCCTAAGTTCCGGGCACTGCTTGTCTTCATTGAGGTATTAAAAAAATATTCTTTTATATATAGAAGAAGAAAGATGAAGCAAAAGAAGTAATTTTTATCTATTTTCATCAACTCTGTGCTAAGTTTGGAGATTTTTAATGAGAAGAACTGAAACTTTTTGGGCAAAATAATTAGACTGAAATAAGTTTTGGAGCAGAACATTTCTATTCTTTCTTGATTGCCAAATACTTTCTAATTTCTATGCTATTAAATATTTACATATGCTGGAACAGGGCATTTCTATTATTTCTTGAGGTAAACAATTGTGCGAACTCAAAATCTCTCTTGGTTACTCAAGCTCAACACTTGGGTTTTCTACTTAGCTCAATTAGAAGTACTTTTAATTTGTCTGATGTAATATGCTCTATATAATCCTGGTTGCATTGTCGCCACTTGAACTCCTATCATTATCTCCCTAGACACTTACCATTTTACCTTGACAAGTAGATGTCGTGCACGCTCCTTGCCATTCAATTCCTTCATGCAGCTTCTAATGACGAGAGATTATTCTGTGCGGTGTCTGAATGCGTCCATAGATCAATCCGGACGTGACATGTATGTCACCCAATGCATTGTGCAATCAGTGACATGGAGCATCCAGATTGGCCTCCAGACGCATCCGGATGCTGCACATAATCATTTTTCTCTAATGATAGGGGAGGGTGGACAAAGGATAAGAGAAGCATAGAGTGACTAGAATCCATAGAGAAAAATATGGAAGGTAAGAGGGTAATCTACAACAAGAAGGGTTCGTCTTCTGCACATGGAGTGACCATTTTTCAAATAATAGGACATTGGAACTCCATTTTCCCAAACGGATCCCAGCAAAAAATAAATAGGATCGTCTCAACATCCACCTGAGAAGACCCCCTATGGAAATTAAACCTCAAAAATCTTCTTTATTTATTTTTTCTCTTCATAAATTCTTTATAATCTGTATGCAACTCAATCATTGGTAAAGAACTTTAGCCTCAAAAAGATTTTGGCTTCTCTTACAGTAATTCAGTCCTGATTATATCTACTTTTTGTAGGGCTATTCACAAAATAGTTATGTTTATGCTGAAAGCTGAACTTTTTGCAGTGCTAAGCATTGGGCACATGAGACTAATTTTAGCACATGAAAATTTAGGAATTATATGTCAATGTTGCTTAAAGGCTAAGTAATAATGCATATGCTAAATTCTCTTTGATCTACTATAAAAAGGATGGTGATATTGATTATGACATAATTTTTATTGTTAAAGATGAATGGTCAAAATTGAGAAGCATTTGAGCAATTTAAATGATGCAAACTTAGGCTTCATTTGAGACGGATTTTTTATTGCTTCTTCTTAAAACAGATTTTTAGTACATAAATTAAAAATTTTTAACTAAAACTTTATTTTAAGAAGCAATAAAAAAGTCATCCCAAACGAATCCTTAATGTAAATATTAAATTAAACATATGCAATCATACTGCTAATGTAATCTAATCATTGCACATAAAAAAAGTCATTGAGAACTACATTGAATATGACTTAAATTATAATTTTAAGAGTGATGTGTTCTAAAACAAGGAATAATGGAGGAAGAAATTAAAATATAATAGAGTTTGGCCTATTGAAGAAAAAAATAGCAGAGAATAGATTTGAATGATTTTAACATTTATAATGGAGAAGATGATCCTATATGACATCAAGATAGAATTATTATTGATGAACTTGAAAGAAAAAACAACAGATAAAAACAAAACAATAATCATTTAAGATTCAGTACAGGAAAATCATACATTACCGACGGCTTTCTGACAGACTATTTTCTGGCGGATTTCCGGCGGTTGTCCGACAACATTGTTTCTGACGGTGTTTCCGGTGGCCTTTCCGGCAATGAAAATATGTTTTTTAATCCAATACAAGTAATCCTAAACTTATTGTACATAAAGGCATAAACAGCTGTATCCAAAAGATTTAAGCTTTGAAAATTTTGTTTCATTAAAGAATAATATAATGATTTGCATTCTAATTAAGAAGTTTTACTGGGCACTAATCCAAATTTTCTATGAAAACTTTGAAATCAGTTTCTCATCACCACCTTGTGTGAACCTGCAGCACAGGTATTATGGAACGTCTAAGCCATTTGGAGAAAAGTCATATGAATCTGCAGACAAATTGGGGTACTTGAACTCGGCGCAGGCCTTGGCGGATTATGCAGTGCTCATAAGGAGCTTGAAACATAACATGTCTGCTGAATCATCTCCAGTAGTAGTTTTCGGAGGTTCCTATGGAGGAAGTAAGTTAAATATTAAATATGTAAGAAATATAATATTATAATAATATTTCTTTAATAAATTTATAAAAAAATAAATAATTAGATTATATAATTTTTTATATTCAATTAAATTTATTAATTAATTAAAATGATTTCTTTATCAATACAAAAATTATATATTTTTGTATTCATGTTAATAGTTATTGCTGATCTAGGGGCTCATTTTCCTATGTCTAGACAACTTTTATTGATGGATGGTCTTTAAATTGGGACCTTTTAAGAAGAATTCAATGTAAATTACTATGGCCTAATTAATTTCTTAGGATAGTATGTCTTAAGATATAAATATGATATACTGTTATCATAATTTTATTTCGCCATCTTAATCGACATTTGTTTCTTCTTAAACTGTCACAATGTGTATGTTTTCCTATTAATAAAGGCTATTTAGGTGTGTGAAAATGGGCCTCTACATCCCCACTGACTAGTAGCATCATATATATATGTTCTAATATTTATAAATACTAAAGAAACTATTGTCTTGCTTTAGTGCTAGCTGCATGGTTCAGGCTTAAGTACCCTCAGATAGCCATTGGTGCCTTGGCATCATCAGCACCTATACTGCAGTTTGATGACATTACTCCATGGAGCAGCTTTTATGATGGTGTATCCCAAGACTATAAGGTACAACCTTTGCATTGTTTTGCTTATGAAGGATTCAATCTGTATTTGTTTATATAATGATTTTAAATTTCAACAAAAATATTGATTTGTTTCTTTGGGTTCGAATTGATTTCAACTAGAAAAAATAATAAATCAATATGATTCAGCCCTAAATTTCACTTTCCCTAATTTAAAGTTCTTTTTTATTCGTACAATTTTTAATTACACTAGGGTTTGTATTGAGTCCAGTTTGAGCTTCCTTAATGAGTTGAGTGAATGATTAGCTTGAGCTGAAAAGAATTGAATGATTTATGCCCCGACCTCTCCATGACTCTTTTTTAATGGAGAGAGTTTTAAGGAATTTAGGTTCCGGTGTAGATTTTCAGAAGGTGGATTAGACTTTTTAGATAAGATAGTATCCAGAGTTTTCGTCCTCATTTTATGAGGACTTTATGATCCCATAGGCGTAAGCCTCTATGGTTAATTACCCATCCCGAAAATGAAATAGAACTTTCAATTAAGGCTAGTCATTATATAGGTCACAATAATTATCTAATGTATAAATTGCGACAATTTTAGGATTTGAATTTAAGAGTTTATAACTTGAAATTTATCACTATACTTAAAGAGGGTGATGGGGAATGATTACAGGCTCGATTAAGATCTCATGATTCCGTCATTCCGGACTGTCATGATTCTTGGTGTACTTAGTTAGAGGAGGTAGTTGACTGAACCTGACAAAGGGAATCTTGTCTCTATTCATGGGTTGCTTTGTCCAAGAATACCTTGTAAACTTGGGGTGAATGTTTGTTTGAGGTGTTGAATTTAAATAAACCTTAGTTAATAGAGAGTTTTATGTCTTACAAAGCGCATCCTATAATTCATTACTCAATGGGCTTTTAACTATTAGGGAATATACATGTTTTGGATGTGTATGTAATACAGTGATGCCTTTTTGGGCAAAATCAACCGGTCAGAGAGCACGTACTATGCCCCTGCTGGCAAGAAATCAATTGAGAATAAACTGTAGTAATACATTCCACAATATATCTGCTCTTTCTGAGTTGAAATTATTCTTCAATTCATCATTCTCGCCAAATTATTGGGAAGTGAATGAATTTTTTATTTTAAGTTTTTGATGACATATTTCATTTTAAGGATTTAAACTTTTAGTTGGATTTGAGTTTAGATTTTGAATAATTTTTTTTAGAGTTTTGAGGGCATTTTTAATATTAAATTGCTTTCTTCGGTTAAAATTTTCCGTCAACTCGTCTATCGTTGGACTATTTGCACTTTTAGCAAATCCGTGGAGCATTCTCAGATATCGTTATAGATCACAACACATGCAGAATATATTTTAGCATACAAATCAGATTTATTGTAGGGTTGTTTGAACACTTTTAGCGAATCCGCGAAGTATTATCAGATATTGCATTTAGGAGCTTGACATAAAAATTGAGGCACATGCGGAATTTATTTACAGTGTATGTGCGCGTAATGAATTTAATACATTGATTAATGCTTATATACATATGCATAATGTATTTTGCATTGCACTTGCATTTTCTGTTTGTATTTGCCTATGCATAATACATTTTTCTTCTAATCGATATATTGACATAATACATTCATACTTATATTTCGTTCACAGTTCTTGCATAGTGTATTTCATACATCAAACCTTCCTCAGGAGGCTCACAAATGTATTTCATATAAATTATCAATTTAAAATTTCAAGATCATAAATAGTGAGTAATCATTTGGAAGGAAAACACCCTAGTAATTGATGGGTTATGTGCTTACTAGCAATGCGCCTTCACATCTTATATTTTAATGACTTAGCTATCGTGCATGTAATATTGGTCACCTCTCATACTCACTTTATCTCGCAACATTCTTCTTACTACAAAATTTCTCTGCCCCTATATGCTTGCTCCTGCATGAGACTCGGCATGTCACGATCTCCTCATGGTCCCTTCACATCAATTTCATTGTCGTACTTTTCCTCATAAACTATTTTACATCATATCATGAATCTTATCTATCATAATTTTAATTCTACTTTTCCAATGATCAACCTTCAATCATGTGCACTACATTTATACATATGATTTATTTGCATTCCTATCATATCTTTATTTCTTAATGCTTGCCTAGCCATCACTAACTTTGTTTACCACAACCACAACCACAACCACCCTTATTACCTGCCAAAGTTTTTGTGCACTACTCAGATAGCCACTGAATAGCCTTTCATACACTCCCTAGCCGCCTTGGGCCAAATTGATTGCTTGCTACGACTTCTACCTTTTTTGGACATATGATAGCTATCTTTCATTGTCCATAAAAACTCTATGACACTTCAACTCTTTATTCAATGTTGCTAAATTGTTTTAATATCAAAGACTACATTTACATGACACCTATGTTGACAAATATTTGCTTCTAAAGGTCATAATCATTAGCTTAAAAAAATATTAATTTACAACTCTCATTTCATGCCTAGGAAGCTGCATGTATCTATAAATTGAGTATTTATTGCAAATTCATCTATCTTTTAATACTCACGAGTTAATTATCTCATCTTCATATTGAGAGTGAATTATGGCATGAGATTAGACCCTACTTGTTGTGGAACACATGATATGAAAGCCTTGATGTAATGTACATGAATTGAGTTTATGGTAACGAAGTTTAACTTCTGAATGTATTTAATTTATATTGTTAATATGATAATTTTTTATGTCTTTTCAATTAGTCCATGCTTCTTGCAAGTACGTCTTAAAAATTTATTTTACCTCAATTGTATATAGATAATTTAGTCTTAATATCATCGTGATCATAAGAATTTACAAAGGACGAGTATTTTGATCCAATTGTAGAATTAATAATTTATTCCATTCATTCATTTTTTGTGTTTAAATATTCATTTTTAATTTAATCATGTGAATTTCATCTAGCGTTCATCTTACAACTTTTAATCATGTTCATCATTAATAATTTATTCCATTCATTCATTTTTTGTGTTTAAATATTCATTTTTAATTTAAATATGTGAATTTCATCTAGCGTAAATATTCGTTATGATAATTTGTTTATGTCTTTACAAAATCATCTTACAAGATTTGATTAGAAAGAATTAAAAATGATATTTTTTTTTATTAGATTTAAATGAGAATTTAACTTTTAATATGACATAATAGAGAAAAATTATTCATATAAATGACCCCACATAGTGGGATCATAAAGATTTGTTTATTGTTGTTGTTCTTGTGGGGGGTTATTATACTGAGATTTTACTGATGCTTGCTCATGAGATTGCAGGATGAGAGCATAAACTGCTTTGAAGTAATAAAGAAGGGCTGGGATGAGCTGATGAGGTTGTCATCTGTAAAGAATGGACTCTCGGAGCTCAGTACAACATTTAAGACATGCAAGTAAATTTCTCATCACTTTCACTTTATTTTTATGTTGAAGATTATAATAAAGGTATATAATACTATTCATGAAAGTTAATTTTAGAGGCAAAAATTCCATGTTAATATACTTAAATTCGAAAACTGTGAGGTAGAAAGCAATTTCCTCTGTTTGAGATGGTTCTGAGAAAGTTTGCCTTGCTTAAAATTAATATCAATTTTGATTTCTAACAACACCTAACTAAATAATGAATAAAGAATATTTTATTATTTTTAAATTATATTTTCTAATCTCGTATGGATTATGAAGAAAAGATCTAAAGTTGCTCATACACATGACACAATTGTTGATAAAAGGAATCTTCAACCTACTCTCACTTGTGTTTCTCAATAGAGAAATGCTAAACAATTCTATAAAACTAGCTGAATCCAATGCTGAACTGAAAAAAAATAAAATCCACTGCAGAAATTTTACTGAAGTAGCTAGATCAGTATTGATATTTCATCAAAAATTATCTTGATCGGGCACGAATGTCAAGGCAAAAATCAAGTTGAAAACTTCAAAAATTAAATATGGGATCATCTGAACTCCGATTTCAGAAAACTTACAGTCGAACTGATCGTCTCAGACATATGAACCCAACGACACCAAATTCAGCTCAATCCGAGGCCAAATGTGTCCGAATTGAAGGCCCAAAGCACATTCAGAAGGTTCAATCCATAATTTGGGTCACCAAACAGTTTCCAAATATGACATGCTTATAGTCGAATCGAGCGGCTCGATGAGACGAATCCAACGAACCCAAGATCGCCGAATTCTGATATCATTAAGACCATCAAATGTTTGACGAACAATCAATGATCATGGGATTCAATATCGGCCGTCCATCGAAACCACTCTACATTTGCCCTTGATCCTCCTATTTACGGGTCATGCCATCCTAAAAAAAATTATAAATAGCCCATCATTTCTCTTGAGAGGGGACGGAAGCAAGAAGAAGAAGAGAAGAGAAGAATGATAGGAGGGAAGAAACTCCTCCTCGACCACCTCTGCCCTACTTCCACGGGACGCCGGAATTCTGCCTGACTTCCACGGAACGCCGAACTTCTGCCTGACTTTCATGAGATGCCGGAATTCCTCGCGACTTCCAAGTGACGCCTGAGTTTCACCTGAACTCCAAATGACGCCGGAATTCCGTCCAACCTCCATGTGATGCCGAAATTCCGTCCGACCTCCAAGTGACGCCGAAGTTTCACCCAAACTCCAAGTGACACAAGAGTTTTGCCCGAATACCATCTAAAGTCGGAGTTCTTCTCTTCCGCCAATTGACGTCAGACTTCTACCCGACGTCGTACTTCCGCTCGTCGCCAAGTTTCTACCCGACACCGGACTTCTGCGTGTTGTCGGACTTTAGCTAGACATCTATCCGATGTTGGATTTCTGTCCATTGCCAAATTTATACCTGACGCCATCCTTCTGACCTTCGTCGTCAAACAACAGTCCTTCCGACCTCCGTCACCCGCCGACTACGGTCCTTCTAACTTACGTTGCCGACCAACTACAGTCCTTCCGACCTCTGTTGCCCGTCGCTACGGTCCGTCTGACTTACGTCGCCCATCGACTACAAGCCTTCCGACCTCCGTCACCCATCGACTACGGCCCAGCCCTTCTGACTTAAGTCGCCCACCGACTACAGTCCTTCCGACCTCCGTCGCCCGCCGACTACAGTCCTTCTGACTTATGTCGCCCATCGACTACAGTCCTTCCGACCTCCGTCGCCCGCCGATTATGGTCCTTCCGACTTACGTCGCCCATCGACTACAGTCCTTCAGACCAAACAAGCACATCAACAATGATTTTTTTTATTCTCATCATGTAATATACTCTATAAGATGTACATCAAGTTAAGGTCTTCCCACAAGTAAGGGCCTCATTTGTAATCAACTGCGATACTAGTGGACTCATTTAAACTGGGTTAGGCTCCGTGGTTTTTCCTCCTTTTTTCAGGGGTTTTCCATGTAATAATAGTGGTGTCTCTCATAAATGCTACACCCACTCTCTTTATCTATGTGCGTACTGGATCTTCGTAAAAAACTAAGACGTTAAGCTTTATATTTCTCTGCCGCCGCGAATGCTCTAGGACACAACAAATATAAAGAATAGAATACAATGACATAAGGAACACTATCATTCTACTCGATGAAACCAGGCTTAACAAACTCTTCTGAGCTTATGAGCAGAAGAATAGAGCTGCTTATTTCTTCTACTCCTAGGTGGACTGAGATGATTATAGTCAAGGTAACTGATCTTCTGAAGAATAAAAACCTGTAGTTAAACTGAATGCTTCAACATCCATTCATTGTTAAAGAAGTGGTCAAACTAAGTTCGCACCGACAATAAAAGATAAAAGGTTCCTACTTCCTATAACATGGAATGTGAATTAGCTGCGTCATTATTTTCATGAGAAAAAGATGTCCACTTTGCTTTTCCTTTAAAGTACTAAATTAAAGTATTTTTATTTGTCGTGTCATCTGAAATGTTAGAATATATTAAAATAGTTGCTCATGAGCTTTTGGTGGTTCTCATTTGAATTGTCTTGTCCGATTAAGATCATATTTTACTAACCGGGAGCACCATATTTGCCATATGAAAGATATGCTCTCTCTCTCTGTGACACCAAGGGATACAAGTGCACTGAATTTTTTTTTTAGGGGTCTCCCCCCTCCCCACAATGGCCTCTAGCTTTCAAAACGTCCGAGCATAACCTCTCCTGGCCTAAAAAAATTAAGCCGGATCAAATCCTTTAAGCCACCTTCAAGCAAGTGAGCATAACTTCCAAGCCTCAAAAGTCTTATTTCAGCCTCTTAATGATTGAAAATAGTTTTCAGGCTACAATATCTTATGTTGGATCTAAACCTTCGTGCCACCTTCAAGCAGTCAAGCATAACCTCCAAGTCTTGAAATCTCGCTCAATCTCATAATGATTGAGCATAAAATCCAGGCTTTAAAACCATTAGCCACATGAAACATTTAGACCACTAAACATAACTTTCAAGCCTTAAAAGCTGAATTGTTGAGCAAAATCTCTAACTGAATTAAGGCCTTTGAGCTATAAAAAGCTCAAATATGAACTCTTGATAATGCAAGGTTTATCTCAGTTAAATTTATAATACTAACCATAGTTTTTAAATGAGATACTCATCCTTAGAAAGGACCAAGGATGTGAGAAAAAACAAATAAAACACTCAAAATACATTCAACCAACCAAAATAATTTATTTTAATATCACTACGTAGCCTCTCTTTCTTTACAATTCATCATATTATATTAATAATGGAAGTTAGCAACATATGCACCCAGAAATGGAATGGACGCATCATATTACATTAACGAAGGAAAATTCCACCAGTTGCAATATAGAAGACTAACAATGGCCCAGCGAGTCCCTAAAGTGATTAAGTAACCCAACTATTGATCCGGAATTAAATTTGCCGGTCCAAATCTTCACTAAAAAGGAGTGATTGGCATCATCATTCTCTTAACTTGCAGACTAACTTGATTTGTGGTCTCAAATGATCAAATGAGACCTCCACCACCTGAAAGTTTGTTATAAATATCACGCAATCATATTTTCCTCATAAAACTCTGCAGATTAAGGTTTTGTTTGGGACAGCTTTTGACCATAATTTTTTCACTTGTTTCAAAAAATTTTTAACTAAAATTTTGCTATAAGAAATAGCAAAAAAGCTGTCCAAGCGAAACTTGGGACGGCTTTCTTTTCTGCTTCTTAAAACAGCTTTTTAGTAAAAATTTAAAATTGTTGTACTAGAAAATTGGTTTAAAAAGCAAAAAGAAAATCATCCCAAATGAAACCTAAGACTTTATTTGAGATTATTTTCTTAATGTTTTTTAAAGTAATTTTTTATTTTAAAAAAAAATTGAATCAGAAATTTTTATACTAAAAAATTATTTTAGAAGTCAATTAGAAAATTGTTCCAAACGAAGCCTAACTTGATTTGGATTATGTTAATTGGATTTTGGAGCTGGTATGGAATTCGATTTTGAAATATCTTCAACTGCTTTAAATGTGCTTTTACGTTTTATTTTATATGAATTTGTAAATTTGTTTCAGTTTTTGTTTTGAATTTTTATTTTTCTGAAATTTTATTTCTTATATTTGTACATTTCATTATTGTTACTTATATTTCATGTTTGTAAAATATAAAAAAGAAAAATTACGGGGTCTACTTCCCATCCCGTGACGTAATATTTGTACATTTCATTATTTTTCGGGTCGGGTTCGAGTCGTGTTTCGGGTCGTGTCAAAAATTGACACCCCTATTGAGGTGACATTTTTAATATTTTTGCTAACTTTTTAATAATCCTAACAAAAAAAACTTAAATGATATATGAAAAAACCTAAATAAAATAGTTATAAATACATAAAGAATATCAAATTTAATTTTATTTAAGTTTTTTTTCTTAGAATTTAAATTTTATTTACTTAAGATTTTAAAGCAGATATGTATTGATAAGGACAAAAAAATTGAATAAAGTAGAGATGTATTGATTACATAAAAATACATTATTTAATTTTTTCTTTAGGATTATAAAAAGTGAAGTCCATTAAATCTAGTCAAATGTTTAAAATATATAAAAAAATACATTAGAATGATTTATTTGACACAAGTTGACCAATTCTTAAATGAACAAATTTTTAAAGCAAAATAAATTTTCATCATTTCAACATTGGGTGCAAAATTTTAAAAATTGTAAAGAGCAACAACTCTCACTCTTACCACGTGTGTTTTCAAGTCATTAATTCTAACAACCCGAAGAAATGAAAAATATAATAATATGAATTTCTGTCTGAACTAAAATGCTTTAGCACTTTGTTTTGTAGCGATGAGGTGCTATGCTTAAAGCACCATAGCGGCGCTAGAAATTGATGCTGCGATGTTTGAGTTTCTATCCTACAGTAATTCTGGATTCAGCATGCAACGTTGCAGTGATAGGCCACTAACAATATTTATGTATATTTATTACTCTAAATCGTAAGCATTAAGTCTCTTCAGTGCCGCCACCTCCCCCATTTGAGTGCAGCTTGTCGTGGAAGAAGAGAGGGAAAGGGGGAAGAAGAGGAGAGCCACAAGAAAGGGAAAGTTGATTTTTTGGCATTTTCATCTATCGATTCAATTCAGAGATTTCTTCTAATTATTGTAAGTAACATAAATCTCATTTTTGTTTTCAATGATTTTTTGTTTGATGGATTTTTTCTCTCCTAAATTGATAAAAATGTATTTTCTACTGACTTATTAAATTTTCATTGTGTAATTTTTTGTATACAATATATACGGATTTTATGAACATTTTGACTATAATATTATTAAATTTTATTGGTTAAAATGAAAGTTATGATCTTTTGAAGTTATTGACTGATATATAAATTTTCTTGCATTTTATAAAACTAATTATTTCATGTTGTATTTTATATATTAAAACACATTTCATGCAAGTAAGAAAGATTGTATGTTAACACTAATTAATTCGGGTTGAATATTATAATATAATACCCTACGCAAGAGGATGAGCTGACGATCTTTTTTTAAAGATGATTTGTGGTGTTATCCTAGTTGTAACTTGTAATTGATGACCAATTAGCTGACGGGGAGAGAGTGAAAGTTCTTAATGATTTATTGAAAGTCGCATGATATGATAAAATGATAATGATGTTGTAATTAAAATGATAATGATAAATACACATGAATGAATAAAAATACCACATTAAAGCTAGATGTCCTGCATTACTGAATCTAAATCATGCATATAACTATAATGTGCATAGATGACATTGACAAATGGATCATAATGGATATAGGTACACATACTGACAGCATATGATGCATAAGATTGATAATAGATAAGATAGACAAGACTGATGATATTGACACTTATATGTTATATTCTTTTATTGATTTGTAAATGATTTCAATACGATTGCTTTATGAATTTATTGATTATTGTATTAAATATTGATTCATATATTTCACTGAAATGATATATTGCTCTTGTTATTGATCATTTTGAGTCTTATGAATGATAACTCATCATTGATGCAATGGAATTCTATTGATTATATTGACTGAATTAAGCATGTATATTTATTTTTTAAGCTTTGCATTGGAAGTTTTATTAAATTTGAGTCACTATTGGCTTTTTATCTAATTATATGTATTTTAATGATTTCATGTTAGGGAAGAGATCATAACCAGGTGGAGTGAGGTTATTAGAGATCCTCAGGTTCACTATAAGAAAACCTGTCATTATCGTCAAACTTTCTGGCGTATATGTATGCGCCAAAAATAGTGTCGGCATAACCGGTGGTTACACCCCGCATGCTCCTCAGCAGCACTAAATCATTGAGTAATGAATAAAAAGGATTGACCGATAGGCCACAAAGTCCTCTGGTAGTTAAGGTGGCTTCAAAAGAGACACATCCATCTTAAGTCTATAAGTTTTCCTTGGATGAAGCAACCCATGGATGGCGACAAGGATCTTTCTGTCAGGCTGAGTCAACTACCTCCTCTAACTAAGTAGACTATGGACCATGATGGGCCGAGATGATGGAATTATGGGATCTTGATCGAGTCTGTCATCAATCCCTCTACCACCCACTTTAAGTGCGAGATGATAAATTTCTAATTTTAAATATAAAACTTTCAAATACCTAAACATGCTACTACTATACGTGTAGTATCTGTTTGACGACTAGCCTTAATCGAAAGTTCTATCTCATTATCAGAAGGGATAATTAACTATAGGGGCTTGCGCCTATAAGAAACCTGAACTCAGATCATAAAGTCATCACAAAATGAGGGCAAAATCTCTTGGTAATGTCTTATTCTAAACCCAATCTACCATATGAAAATTTGCCTCAGAACTTGCTCGTTAAAACTCTCCTCGACGACCTGAAGAAAAAAAAAAGAAAGGGGCCGCAGAGAAGTTGGGGCACGAATTTTTGGAGCCCGCATATTCTTGCGACACCGCTAGGGATATAAAAAGTTACATGGTAAAAATTTTTCCGGTGCAAAGTTGTTTGCGTTTTTCGATAATGGAAATAAAAATTTATTCATAAAATTTGGTAAAACTTTGATTATTGAAAACTCAGATAGGTAAAATATAACCTAAGAATTAGATAAGCTAAAAATATGAATCTTTCTACCACAAAAAAAAAAAAAAACATGAAAACCGTATGCGTCTGAAAACAACCATTGAAATATCTCTTACCAAATATTTGTGGAGGGAATTGTCTATTTATAATATATTATACATTATATTACCTTTGTTGTTGGTGTGATAATTCAATTCATGCACAATCCTAATTAAATAGTAACACCTAAAGGTTACACATCAGATTTTATAATATCTGATGGAACACTTGAGTGAATAAATTTTATTCAAAAGGAGGGCTATATGATGCTTAAATCTTGTACAATGATGATTATGCATGATTTATGATTATTAGGAATTATATTTTGAAAGTCGACATGCAATAAATAACTACCATATTAATATGCACAATTCATGGTTCAAAATAACTTTTTAAACATAGAAAAACAACTTGCAATAAATAAAAGCGTAAATTTAAAAGACACAAAGAGTTATAGTGGTTTGGTTAAATACGACCTACATCCACTCCCTGAAGACTCCCTCTTCAGGTATTGCACTATTACTAAAGTGTCTCTCCTTTTGCCCCCACAGCAAGGCGGAGAAGCCTTTACAAAACCTCTCTTCCACCAATCCCCGGTGCGGCAGAGAACCGTCGTCCTTTCACACTCTCCAAGTGTCGGTAGAGAACCGTTGTCCTTTCACACTCTCCAAGTGTCGGCAAAGAACCGTCGTCTGTTTACACCCTCCAAGTGTTAGCAGAGAACCGTCGTCTGTTCACACTCCGAGTGTTGGCAGAGTACATGATCTTCTTCAAAGATATTCTCACGAGCAATCTAGAAAGACAAGAGGAATAGTGAAAAACAAAAATCACACAGAGATCCTGACCTTTGAGTGACCTTGTGAACCCTTCACACTCCACTTACAAGAAATATCTCTCAAACATTTTCTCACACTCTCTCTTTTAATTACCCTTGAAAAGTCGACATGCAAGTCTAGAATGAACATCATCCATTCATTCAAAATTGGAATATATGAAAAAATCAATCTCAAACAATTTTGCCTTCATCAATATTCCACTGAGCTCAGTAGTCACCCACTTTCCTTATTCACTTCAAACATCTCAATGATTGATGAGATTATTAATGCCATCACATCAATACCTGAATAATTATAATTATTATTCTACATACTCATTAATTTTTGAAATATTATAATTATTATTTACTCACAAATTTTTATTGGAAATTATCCTATGATTATATAAATATTACACAAATATAAGAATTAGATACTTAATCATTCCTCACCAATTTTCATCAAGCTCCTTAGAGAGATTTGCAGATATTTTTGAGGCTAAATAAATGTTAATTTTTAATTACATAAACTGATTTAATCAATTTTATCATTTTTTTTAGAACTCTTCATTCAGTATATCAAGCACGAGATTGGCTATGGGAAGCATTTGTATATACGGCAATGGTTGATTATCCAACAAAAGCAAATTTCATGAAACCATTGCCAGCCAATCCAGTTCAGGAGGTTAGTATCTAAAACATTCAAATTAAATAAGGAAAAACAAATATTATCTTCCCTTCTCGAACAGAAATTAGAATTAAGATATCATTTCTATTGCTGTCAATTCTATACATAATACATCTCTTTTTTCCTTTAAAGATGTGCAGAATCATAGATGGATTCCCACCAGAGGTTGACATACTCACCAAAGTGTTTTCAGCTGCAAGCTTGTATTACAACTATTCAGGCAGTCAATCTTGTTTTAATATAGGATATGAGGCTGATGTTCATGGACTTGATGGGTGGGATTGGCAGGTATGCTAATTGCTAAAGTTTCAGGTTTGATTCTACCTTTCCCAGATTTCTTAAATAGAACGGGCATTTCACTAAGTACTGAATGGAACTAAAAGAAATTGTAATAAAAGTCATATGTGGTCTTACATTAAGATCCACCAAACTTCAAATACCATGCTCTAAAAGGCTTCGTTTGAGACAGCTTTCTGCTTCTTAAAGCTGCTCTAAGAAGCAATAAAAAAGCCGTCCCAAACTAAGCCTAAATGAGTTTCCTGAGGCCCTATGTAATTTTATTTTATTGTTTAATCAAATTAACAAGTATTGGCAATTGCTTGATTTTGTATTGTTTGCTTTAATTAGTTATTAAAATTTTCTTTTAAAAAAGTCATTTGCAACAGCAACCATGGGTGAGGAGTAAATTTCAAAAGAATACAGTAAAGAAAAGGAGAGAACAAACAATATGCTTGTCTTCTTCTAAAGAATAGTTCCTCTTATAAAACAACTTCCAATCTTCAGTATTAAAGAGGAGTAGCAAGTATCATGGATAGGTTTTGTTTTGCAGACTGCCATGTTTCTGTTTGATTGTGTGTTTCTTGTTTTTTAAAAAATTTAGCATGAGAAACAGCTTTTATAACTAAATATGTTAATATGACAGCAGTAAGAAAGATATCTATAAAACCAGGAGAAACCTAAATTTTTTTTATTTTTCTCATAACTGTTTTACAGCTATTTTTACAGAACTGCAATTAGCTCTGGTAGCAGTAGGCTCGATAAAACAAATTCTCTTGACGAACGCATTAGCTCTTGTGGTAGTCATCTCAATTATCAAAACGTTGTAATCCACAAGTGTTTTATATCTTTATCATAGGATCAATACTGTTCTTTAAATCAAGATGTAGAGTAGATTAAGTATAGACATCAAGACCATGCATCTGTAGTGCCAATAATACAAGGGTAACTTCTAAAAAAAAAAAATCCAATAGCTTTTATGTTGAGAAGCAATCCAAACTACACAAACTTCTCTGATGCATTCAATTTATTTAAATACTGAACAATAACTTTAGGTTTCTTAAAGACACCACGCAAAGAAAATAGCACAACATAATTTACCAAATGAACACAAAGAGATGGGAAAGAAACCCAAGCTAGAACAATGAGAGCTTCTTTAAACATAAAAAGAGCGGTTCAATTAAGACACTTCATAGTTAAATCTTTAGCATAATTTATTTTATGGGAAAACATACAAGAAATGCTCCTCTTCTTCTGCAATCTAATGAAAGTACAAGATGTTTAAGGGTGAATTGACCTAAAAAGACCAAATCAATAAAGAATTGTTTTATGCCAATCATTATCGGTTATCAAACAAAATATTTCAACAGGATAGAATTCAACAGCACACAATCGGATAATAGCAGGTTTTCCTTTAATAGTAGAGGGAGTTTTGATTCAAATGGTTTTCGACTTAGAATCTTTCACAGAATGGGCCCCTAAGAAAGATTAAAATTGAGCTGGAGCAATTAATTTCTTAGGACATATTAGTAATTGTCTTGATTTAAATCTTAATACAAGATTGCTTGATGAATTTCAATATCTTCTGTGTTCATCTGCATAAATCTTCATGTACATGCTTGCCATAATTAGAAAGAAGGAATTCTTTAGTCCTAAATTATCACATGTAATGCTTATTTTCTTTAGAACAACTTCCTTGGATTTTATTGCATTTCTTTTGCTTTGTTTTTCATTTAGGCTTGCACAGAAATGGTCATGCCAATGACTTGCTCTAACAAAAGCATGTTCCCACCATCAGCATATGATTATAAAGAATTTGGAGACCAATGCAAGAAAACGTATGGTGTAAGACCTCGGCCCCATTGGATTACTACAGAGTATGGAGGCCATGTAAGCAGCTTGATTTACTCCTCTCTATAATTGTTTATGACTAAAACAGACATGCAGGATAGTTTAAGAAATATCAAATTTGCTGAGTATAATCTAGGGCTTCATTTAGTTCAATTATATAGATAACGTAGTTTTATTATGTTATATAAAATAAAATCATCATTGCGAGATGCTGCAAGTCCATGCTCAGAAACTTATGGAGGTGCACGTGCAAAAGGTGATTATCTAAACATGTTTCTCACACATGAACATAATTTTTTTAAAAAAATTGTAGAAATTCAAAATCAAATGAAGCTTAATTTTCTGAGAATCATAATAACTTCAAGATTAGAAGTATTTTCACAACAGCCTTGATTTACATTATTTTCACAACAACCTTGATCTAACACATAAGTTTCTAATCAATCACAGTCATAAGAATCCACTTAAGTGCTGTTTGGTTGGAATACAAAGGGGTATAAAGTATTCCAAATGCAGGGGTATGAAATTTGTGGTGTTTGGTTGGAATACAAAATGAAGTCAAGTAAAATAAAATAAATATAGTATAAACCATTTTATCTCTTTTTTTGAAGTAAATCAAACTTGTCTAGTTTTGAGATAGAATCATTTATACCACAAACCAGCTCGCTTGATTGTCGCTCACCACTGCCACTCTCCATACATCTCCGTACTGTGTTTGGTTGGAATACAAAATGAAGTCAAGTAAAATAAAATAAATATAGTATAAACCATTTTATCTCTTTTTTTGAAGTAAATCAAACTTGTCTAGTTTTGAGATAGAATCATTTATACCACAAACCAGCTCGCTTGATTGTCGCTCACCACTGCCACTCTCCATACATCTCCGTACTCCCCCCCCCCCCCCCCCCCCCCCCCTTTACACTTTTTTTTTACACTTTTTTTTAGCTAACCAAATAGTGCCTTACATAAGTTGCTTTTATCTTACCTCCCCCACTAGAATGCTCCAAAGCTAAAGGAGGTAAGAAAAAAATCTAATAAAGCATTTTGAGTTTTGAGACTCTTATGTTAAATTATGGAGCATAATTTTGACCTATGAAAAAAATATGCTGCGTTGACTCGGTCCTTGGTCCACCTTCAAGGTAAGGTTATCGTGAAAGTTATAAGAGGGAGGGGAACAGCTTTTTGTGGGGCATAGCTGTGAAAGAGACCAATATTTATGGGTTACATTATTATGGGCATTTTGGAGAGTTAAATATTTATAGGTTACTTTATTATGGGCATCTATTTTTTTCTTTATTAAGTGGGGGCTTCATCTTTATATTGCCTTTGTAATTCTCCATAATCAGAATTATAGTGAAATCTGCAATAGAAGTGAAATTTATATCATCAACAACAACAGGATGTTGCCATCAATTATGTGAATCCATATAAAATTTTGTATTTTCGTGCATTGATATTCTTTTTTGTTTTGATTCTTTTTTATTTCTTAGTGTTTTAATAAGGCTTCAAATTGCTAGACAATTGTACATCTTTTATTTGGTGTAAATTACTAAAATGTTGTAGCAACGCAGAACATCAAGCAAGTTCTTTCCAGATTTGGAAGCAACATAATATTCTCTAATGGAATGAAAGACCCATGGAGCAGAGGAGGGTGAGGATTGAATATCTTATTGTGTTCATTTAACATTATATTTTTCAACTACAAAATTGCTATTTAAAAGAGATCAATCAGATTCTATCAAATGTCCTTGAATTTTTAATGCCATTAATTTGAATTCAGGGTACTTGAGAACCTGTCATCATCCATTGTTGCTCTTGTCACGGCAAAAGGTGAGAACAAATTTCAATTAATTTCACCATATTTACAGTATCATACTCTATTGTGCAGTTGTAAAAATGTTAAATCAAATGTCAGTGTTAAACTATCTTACTCAGCTTGATGAATAATCCTTCAATGGTTGTTTGCTAATATTTACTATATCTCAGGTGCTCATCATGTAGATTTCAGATCTGCTACAGAAGAAGATCCAACTTGGCTTATAGAACAAAGGACGCTAGAAGTGGAAATAATTAGAAGTTGGATAGATAAGTACAGAGAAGACGAAATGATATGAAGAAATAACTGCAAACAATTTGATGACCGGGGGATGTATTGTAAAACAATAAGTCCCCACAAGGTGGCTCATTACATTCATCACAATTCCAATAATTTGTAATTTGTTACCAAGTCAATTATTTTTATCTTCAATATTATGCTCAAAGAGTTTATTCTCTTTCTATGCCACCATATTATATGAATTTTAATTTATTTGCTTTAATCTTACTCTGTAAAGATAATAACTCTTAAAATGGTTAATGATAATATTAACATAAATTAATCACTATTCCAAATCAAAATTTAAATATCAACATATTAAACATACAATATCTAGTATTAAGATCCTGTAAAATCAAAATGTTAATAAATCAAACAATTAATAACAGCTGATTCCATGATTTACATTTAAATATGTCAATCTCTTTAATTTATTTGTGAACATATTTTCCCATAATTTATTTAATTTGGGTAGACAAATTGGATATTATGCAAAGACAGTCAAACAAATTGGACGATCTAATTGTATGTTGATTCACTATACAAAAAGTATTGTTACAATCCAACCCATTATTATTTTATCAAATTTAGAAGAGTTTTATCCTATTATGTCAAAAATGCTCTCATGAAAAAACTTCTTACAACCTATTTTCATCCAAAGCAAATATCAAAATAATGGAAGGTCCAAAGCGGTTTAGATTCAATAAGTTGAAGAACTAAATTGAAGACATGAGAAAAATCTAAGACTAAAATGGATAAACCTAAAAATTTAAGTGCTAATTTGATCATTTCCTTGAAGAATTACTGTTTGAGATGAGATGCAAAGCAAAATGACTCTTCTGCTGAACATTCAATATAATCAATGCACAACATGCAAAATTCAGTAGTACACAATGAAAGACACACTGCTTGTTAAATTAGATATTACACAGAAAAATAGTATGACTCAAAACTGCGCCAACCCAGCTTCTTTAAAAAAAACTAACCCAAAAATTCTAGATCATGCTAAGAATCATGATATGTTTCATGTCAGGCACAAAGTTGGTAATTATATATGTACTGAAACTGAATAAATGTGATCACACAATTATACACTATCTAAATACTCAAGTAAGAAACAGAAGGAAAAGAAGAACCCTTTACATTAATCCCAGTTTGTGGCACTTGGTGGTGGGATAATTAAGGTGGGAGTTTAACTTGTATATGAAGAAGGATGATTGTGATGAGAGATGTAGAAGGATTGGGTGTGGCCTAAGGTTGAATGAGAAATCTGAAGTTGTATACTGGTTGGAGATGATTGTTAGGATGTGTGCAGGGTTCTGGATGGATGGGATGGGTTAGGGTTGGACAAACAAGGGATTGGGATCTAGCTACTTTTCTTTTGCATGGGAGGTTGGGAGCTTGTAGAAGGATTCTAGGATTTGTTGGAAGATGGATGATGATGATGTCTTGGACATGGCAAGAAGGCTAGTGTGTGGTGTCAAAGCCTAAAAGTAACTGCTTGATAACTTGGGGTTCAGAGGGGAAGGCAAAACCGAGAGGTAGTAATTTCAGGTTTTGATGAAAGAATAATATGAGATGTAATGGAGGTAAAAGTACAGAGAAGCATAAAAATAACATAAAAATCAACCCTCAACAAAAGATTACGGTGTTCTTTGGCTAACAGGACTCCCAACTAAAGAATCAGACCACCAAGCCAAGATCCAAGCTAGACAAAATATTATTCCAATTTTAATTCAACGTAAGATTGCTCTTACAGCCATTCTATATCTTTTAAATATTAATCACAATCAGAATTAAAAAAAAAAAAATCATAGTGAAGGACTGGTCGGCAGTTATAAGTAGAGGAGGAGGTGGAATGGCGCCTTGATTTGTGGAAAAGTGAGGCAGGCAGTTGGAGAACTTCAAGCACTTGAATTATGCCTTATTTCAGTGTGCGATGCATGTAAAAACCAAGAGTGGGTGGGCCCTGAATGGCAAATTCAATCTTGGACTTGCTTGCATGAAAATCCCAACCCCAAGACATTCCATGCACATGATTAGCCCTTGAATTGTTTAACGTTGGCCACATGTAGAAGATCCATAAGCTACTACTAATCACAACTATCATTGTTAGAAGTCCCAATCTTACAATCATTAAGGTCACAAATTACGATAATTATTCATCATTACAAGTAATCACGAAAGAAAATCAACTAATAATACATGTGTTTTCTAATATGTTGCATCACTAATGCTTAGCATTTGAATAAGGGCATCACATCATGGAAGAAAATGAGAAGGAAAGTAAGTCATAATTTCCAAAATAAGCAATTTAATTCACAGCAAAAAGTATCTCCTCCCCAACCAGCCACCATCACTGTCCGTCGCCACCACCTATTGCTGGCCACCACCAATGCCAACCGCCACCGATGGCCACTTCCACCACTAGCCACGGCGGCCGCTACCACCACCTCCTCCTCCTCCACCAGCCGCTAACATTTTTGAATTTTACATTTTACACTGAATTCCTTTTACACTTTTTTTTTACACTTTTTTTTAGCTAACCAAATAGTGCCTTACATAAGTTGCTTTTATCTTACCTCCCCCACTAGAATGCTCCAAAGCTAAAGGAGGTAAGAAAAAAATCTAATAAAGCATTTTGAGTTTTGAGACTCTTATGTTAAATTATGGAGCATAATTTTGACCTATGAAAAAAATATGCTGCGTTGACTCGGTCCTTGGTCCACCTTCAAGGTAAGGTTATCGTGAAAGTTATAAGAGGGAGGGGAACAGCTTTTTGTGGGGCATAGCTGTGAAAGAGACCAATATTTATGGGTTACATTATTATGGGCATTTTGGAGAGTTAAATATTTATAGGTTACTTTATTATGGGCATCTATTTTTTTCTTTATTAAGTGGGGGCTTCATCTTTATATTGCCTTTGTAATTCTCCATAATCAGAATTATAGTGAAATCTGCAATAGAAGTGAAATTTATATCATCAACAACAACAGGATGTTGCCATCAATTATGTGAATCCATATAAAATTTTGTATTTTCGTGCATTGATATTCTTTTTTGTTTTGATTCTTTTTTATTTCTTAGTGTTTTAATAAGGCTTCAAATTGCTAGACAATTGTACATCTTTTATTTGGTGTAAATTACTAAAATGTTGTAGCAACGCAGAACATCAAGCAAGTTCTTTCCAGATTTGGAAGCAACATAATATTCTCTAATGGAATGAAAGACCCATGGAGCAGAGGAGGGTGAGGATTGAATATCTTATTGTGTTCATTTAACATTATATTTTTCAACTACAAAATTGCTATTTAAAAGAGATCAATCAGATTCTATCAAATGTCCTTGAATTTTTAATGCCATTAATTTGAATTCAGGGTACTTGAGAACCTGTCATCATCCATTGTTGCTCTTGTCACGGCAAAAGGTGAGAACAAATTTCAATTAATTTCACCATATTTACAGTATCATACTCTATTGTGCAGTTGTAAAAATGTTAAATCAAATGTCAGTGTTAAACTATCTTACTCAGCTTGATGAATAATCCTTCAATGGTTGTTTGCTAATATTTACTATATCTCAGGTGCTCATCATGTAGATTTCAGATCTGCTACAGAAGAAGATCCAACTTGGCTTATAGAACAAAGGACGCTAGAAGTGGAAATAATTAGAAGTTGGATAGATAAGTACAGAGAAGACGAAATGATATGAAGAAATAACTGCAAACAATTTGATGACCGGGGGATGTATTGTAAAACAATAAGTCCCCACAAGGTGGCTCATTACATTCATCACAATTCCAATAATTTGTAATTTGTTACCAAGTCAATTATTTTTATCTTCAATATTATGCTCAAAGAGTTTATTCTCTTTCTATGCCACCATATTATATGAATTTTAATTTATTTGCTTTAATCTTACTCTGTAAAGATAATAACTCTTAAAATGGTTAATGATAATATTAACATAAATTAATCACTATTCCAAATCAAAATTTAAATATCAACATATTAAACATACAATATCTAGTATTAAGATCCTGTAAAATCAAAATGTTAATAAATCAAACAATTAATAACAGCTGATTCCATGATTTACATTTAAATATGTCAATCTCTTTAATTTATTTGTGAACATATTTTCCCATAATTTATTTAATTTGGGTAGACAAATTGGATATTATGCAAAGACAGTCAAACAAATTGGACGATCTAATTGTATGTTGATTCACTATACAAAAAGTATTGTTACAATCCAACCCATTATTATTTTATCAAATTTAGAAGAGTTTTATCCTATTATGTCAAAAATGCTCTCATGAAAAAACTTCTTACAACCTATTTTCATCCAAAGCAAATATCAAAATAATGGAAGGTCCAAAGCGGTTTAGATTCAATAAGTTGAAGAACTAAATTGAAGACATGAGAAAAATCTAAGACTAAAATGGATAAACCTAAAAATTTAAGTGCTAATTTGATCATTTCCTTGAAGAATTACTGTTTGAGATGAGATGCAAAGCAAAATGACTCTTCTGCTGAACATTCAATATAATCAATGCACAACATGCAAAATTCAGTAGTACACAATGAAAGACACACTGCTTGTTAAATTAGATATTACACAGAAAAATAGTATGACTCAAAACTGCGCCAACCCAGCTTCTTTAAAAAAAACTAACCCAAAAATTCTAGATCATGCTAAGAATCATGATATGTTTCATGTCAGGCACAAAGTTGGTAATTATATATGTACTGAAACTGAATAAATGTGATCACACAATTATACACTATCTAAATACTCAAGTAAGAAACAGAAGGAAAAGAAGAACCCTTTACATTAATCCCAGTTTGTGGCACTTGGTGGTGGGATAATTAAGGTGGGAGTTTAACTTGTCGTATATGAAGAAGGATGATTGTGGTGAGAGATGTAGAAGGATTGGGTGTGGCCTAAGGTTGAATGAGAAATCTGAAGTTGTATACTGGTTGGAGATGATTGTTAGGATGTGTGCAGGGTTCTGGATGGATGGGATGGGTTAGGGTTGGACAAACAAGGGATTGGGATCTAGCTACTTTTCTTTTGCATGGGAGGTTGGGAGCTTGTAGAAGGATTCTAGGATTTGTTGGAAGATGGATGATGATGATGTCTTGGACATGGCAAGAAGGCTAGTGTGTGGTGTCAAAGCCTAAAAGTAACTGCTTGATAACTTGGGGTTCAGAGGGGAAGGCAAAACCGAGAGGTAGTAATTTCAGGTTTTGATGAAAGAATAATATGAGATGTAATGGAGGTAAAAGTACAGAGAAGCATAAAAATAACATAAAAATCAACCCTCAACAAAAGATTACGGTGTTCTTTGGCTAACAGGACTCCCAACTAAAGAATCAGACCACCAAGCCAAGATCCAAGCTAGACAAAATATTATTCCAATTTTAATTCAACGTAAGATTGCTCTTACAGCCATTCTATATCTTTTAAATATTAATCACAATCAGAATTAAAAAAAAAAAAATCATAGTGAAGGACTGGTCGGCAGTTATAAGTAGAGGAGGAGGTGGAATGGCGCCTTGATTTGTGGAAAAGTGAGGCAGGCAGTTGGAGAACTTCAAGCACTTGAATTATGCCTTATTTCAGTGTGCGATGCATGTAAAAACCAAGAGTGGGTGGGCCCTGAATGGCAAATTCAATCTTGGACTTGCTTGCATGAAAATCCCAACCCCAAGACATTCCATGCACATGATTAGCCCTTGAATTGTTTAACGTTGGCCACATGTAGAAGATCCATAAGCTACTACTAATCACAACTATCATTGTTAGAAGTCCCAATCTTACAATCATTACTTAGGTCACAAATTACGATAATTATTCATCATTACAAGTAATCACGAAAGAAAATCAACTAATAATACATGTGTTTTCTAATATGTTGCATCACTAATGCTTAGCATTTGAATAAGGGCATCACATCATGGAAGAAAATGAGAAGGAAAGTAAGTCATAATTTCCAAAATAAGCAATTTAATTCACAGCAAAAAGTATCTGAAGAATTTGAAGTAAAGGAGAAGAAAGTGAGAAAATAATGAGAATAATTTTTCTGAAAGCTAAATTTATCTTATTCAAAAGACAAGTTGTAGATATTTTCTTTGCAAGCATACCTTAAATTGGAACAATCGTACATGGTTCCAATATAACATGCAGTTCAAAAGCAAAGACGTACATGAAGATGCATGAAAGTTCCAACATGCAACAACCTAGATGACCCTGAGATAGAGATTGGCATTTCCAATAGCACTATACACGAATTTTTATCTTTTGGTATGATCTAAGTATGCTTTACATTGGCAAGAATTGTAAGGTACAATCAGTGCAGAATTATATTATAATTAATGCAATAAAATATGAACTGAAAAAAATAAATAAATAAATAAAGACTCCTAACTACAATTGGTTCTGTCAAAATAGATTGATGCAACGTGAACAGGTCTATTAGCTTTTTCAAACCACTCTCTCCCCTTATTTAAATGGAGCAGATAATGAACCTCTCCTTATCTCCAAAAGGAAAGACTGATAAGATTTATCTCAGTGAATAGACCAAGTCAAAATTTATTAGGTTGTTACCTATCAGTAAGCTGCTTTGTCTAGAAGGAAATTATGTAGGCATAAATCATTCTCATTTCATGGTAAAGTGGCATTGCTTCAATCCTCTCTCCACCCACTTTATACATTTGGTCCTTCTAGTTGCCACCCCATCTATTTTACCTCTCTAACCATGGGAAGCAAAAGGGAAGAAACAAGCTTCCAAGAAGGTGCTAGCAAGAAAGATGGATAGAAGTTCCAATAATGTTTACTATCTTTGTCAACTTCTCTAATTCCCCTTGAAGCAAAAACCATCTCGTGAACATAGTTTCACCATTTGAATCCATGCAAATCCTTTAATTAGACTTGTTTGAAATCATGTAAAGTGGGCTTCGTTCATTCCAATTGAAATGAAAGAAACCTAGGTCTTGATTCTACTTAAAAGTATTTTCCAATTAAGAAAGGCATCTCGGTGATTTCTCTCTTTATTTTGTATCAAACCAATAAAACTAAACTTGCACTCAAACATAAAGAATGGATCTTCACTGCCATTTTGAGTCACCACCTATACCTAATTACTACAGGAGTGTAGGGTTATGTGGGCAAAACATCACTTCCTCAATTTCTTTGAATGTGTTATATTTTCTCCCAACTTCTATATCACCCTTTGAACATTTCTATGCAGTTCATGTATGTGTGCCCAAAAGATGAACAAGTTCACTAGGTAAAAATACAATTGCACATCTACTAGATCTAGAAGTTTTTTAGGTTGATAATCAGTAACCATATTGAATGCACTCATACCTATAAACCTATTCATAGATGAATTACATCCAAATTAAAGCAGGGAAAAAATTATCTCACAACTAAATGCATGGCCTGCTATTAAACATTATTAATGATCATCGAAACAACTATTTAATATCTTACTTTGGATATGATTAGAGGATGATATTCAATCAAGAAAATGAAATTTGGCATTGCCATACATAATATTTTCCAAATATAATTCACAAAATCAAATATGTTTATCAACTACATTGGTTTTAGCCAAACCACATTGCTTTGCAATTTCAATAAAGAATAAATTGTGAAGAACACATTGTTTAAATTGAATGAAAATTAGTATCATTCCATAAAAACTACCCACTATAACAAAATTTGAAATATGTTTTCCAAAAAAAATGGTAAACCAAGTAAAAAGATCTATATTGATTCTGATGGCCCATGTGAAGTAGTGCATAAATCAATGTTATGTCATTATCCTTCGCATGCTATACACTATGAAACCATATGTGCAACATTATAAACTTGGCAAATAATAATGGTTATTGTCAATAACAATGTTTTTATGTCTTAAAAAATTTACTTGCAGCAATGCTAACAAGCAACTCTAAGATTTACATATAATAATTATGAATGTATATATGACTTCTTTTAAATATACGATCATATATGATAAAGTACATGAGAATTTTACTTTTATGGCCACTTCACGGAGAAATAAAAAATAATTTTACCCCTAACTTGTCAATGCCTCAACAATGGATGTGATTAAATAAATGGAATATTTTAAAAGAGCCTATGAAGATGAAGGCTCCAAAATATTGAAAACAATGAGATATTTCCATTACCATTAAGATCACCATTAGTATACAAAATATTGCCAAACAAAAACTGGATTCATCTCTTCTCTATAATTCCAAAGCTATGACATTATTCTAGAGTTGTGATGTTAAGCAGGTTGTCATGCAATATGAAGAAGATTGTTAAAAATTCCCTTCGAGATAATGGTTCTGACAGCATATCTTTCTATTGCTATCATATTATTCTTGATGATCAAATATGAGAGCATTCAACCATTATAGTTTTTCTCTCCTTTTTTAGACTACCTTCTTTAGGAAGGATTTTTTATTTCTCTTATTATTGGGATGAATTTTCTTCTTCTTTAGAATGAAGTTAGCTCAACAATATAGATTCAATTCTTTCTTCTACAACATTTCAACTCACTAGGGTAAAATTATAAGAAACCCAGAAGAAATTATAAATCACATCACCCCCATTTTTAATTATCAGCATTAAGTCATTACTTATATCAATCTAGTCCTGTTTAGTTTCTTAATGTCTTTTTATCAGGGCTTAGTCATTTGTGAACCTATCTGTTGGAATGAATTTGTGACCTTTGCTTAGCTTGCTTCTTTTTCTTATTTGCATGCTATTTTTTGTCATTCATACTTATTTATCATTTTGTCGTTTGTTAAAATGAAATGATCATTTGTCATTTAAGGTATGGATATGCTATAAATTATTCATTAATATTTGGGTTAGAATGTCCATGAATTTATGACTATCTTTATGTATAGTAAGCCTTTAGTTGTAATTGAAATGTGTTAGATCGGTCCAGCCGATCCACACGGGACCGGTTCTTGCGGAGCAGAGGTGGAATCTCTCTGCCTCCTGTGCGGGCTGATCAAACTGCCCAGTTCAAAAGAATAGATTAGGAAGGTTTTAGGAGAAGTTTAGGAGAGAAATTTGAATGTAAGGACTATTTAGAGATTTTCTTTTGAATTGTATGCATTAAATATTTTGTTTTCCTAGGGTTAGGGCATCTGAATTTCACTAAAGTTTGAGATCTCTTAGGTTTTTGGACTCTAGCGCTGTCTAGAGATTTGAGAGATATAGATCCTCCTCTTGAATAGAGGATCAATTGTATCTTGGTATTTTCCGTTTCTATTTCATCAAATAATACAAAACCGATAGAATTCTCCACAAAAATTCACACAAAACTAGAAAAATAGGAGATATTTTGTAATATTTGATGAATTAGAAATGAAAAATACAAAGATACAATTGATCCTCTATTCGAGAGAAGCAACTATCTCTCCCAAATCTCTAGACGCTACTAGAGCCTAAAAACCTAAGAGACGATCTCAAACTTCAGCCAAATTCAAGATGCCCTAACCCTAGAAAAACAAATACTTAATGCATACAATCCAAAAGGAAATATCTAAACAGTCCCTACATTCAAATTTCTCTCCTAAAACCTTCCTAATATGCTCTTTTGAACTGGGTGGTTCGATCAGCCCGTACAGGAGGCGTAGAGGTTTTGCCTCTGTTCCACAAGAGCTAGTTCCGTGTGGACCGGTCTAACAAAATGTTGGTTGATCATTAAAAAAAAAAAAGAGCTATGTTCCTCTTCTACCAGTCAATTGCATTGAAATACATCATGATTGAATAGTCTCCTTTTATCCTTTTAGCAAAGAGACTTTTACTCTCTTTACCACTTGCCTCTTTTCTCATGAGGGTTGGCTTCTTTTACTTGTCTAGTTCTCTCTATATGTGGGATTTGTCTCTCCTTTGCAAAACAATGTATCAAAGTCTATCACAATATATGATGCACCGACCCTTCTCATCAAAGAGGCATGCAGTGTCCAACACGTATCCAAATGACACGCATCCGACATGTGAGACACACTGAAAATATGTCTGATTAAAAAATATTAAATACAAATTGGACACGCATATTTGACAGGCGTACCTTAAATATTTAATGATTTTTTAAATATAATTTCTTATATTTAAAGTTTTTATTTATTTAATAAAAACTAAATTTCTTATGTTCTATCCACAACACCAAATCAATCGCCCGCACTCAATACCCAATTCATTGAATATTCTCATTTTTATTTCTCTTTGGCGAGTCGCAACTTTAGTTTCAGAATAATGTCCGATGTCATCTCAACATCGACATCTGACTTCATTACAACATCGACATTTCAAAATCATCTCAACAACAAAGTCCGACATTGTCTTAACATTAATACTCGACACTAGCAATTTCTACACCCACAACTTGACAGCTCATCTATGTCTGACGACGTCTTAACATCAACGAGCAATGCCCTTTCAACATTGACGATAGATGCCCTATTGACATTGACACCCGATACTTACTACATAACATCAATGCCCAACTCTCAACAATATTGCCGTCTCCTCTTTCGATGCTTGATGCACGGCCATTGACTCTTGACTCTCGATATCCTAATATTAATCAATTTAAGCACAAATTCAAGCTAAATGATTTATTATTTCTAAATTATTTTTAATAGTATACTTATTCAATTTTTAAAAATTATTTTTAAAATATATAAATTATAATACCGTATCCAATCCGTTTTTATGTGGTATATTTTTAATAATTGATGTGTCTCGTGTCCTTATCTGTGCATCATACATCATGATATCCGCCTCCAATATCAACTAGTCATCAAACTTACTCCTAAAACCACCTTTGTCTCATTATATTCCTATACAAAAAAGCTTTCAAGGCCTCTGCACAGTTACTTTATGGTTCAATCTTCTTAGCTCTATTAAATAAGTTAACCGTTGAAACTCAAAGTCTGGCTTCACTAATAAAATGCTTATAAAAGAAATACAACTACTTTTGTGATAGTTATTTGGCATCAAATTTGCGTAGAAGATAAGCTATGAAAAAACATAATTTTACTATATTTCATCAAATTTATGTAAAATTAAACAAAAAAATGTTTATATATAAATAATTTATTTCAAGATAAAAAACTCTAGATAGTAGAACTTAATTGTACAACAACAACAACAACAACAGCATCAAGTTTTTATCCCACTACATGGTGTCGGCTACATGAATCATTTTTCTCCATTGTGTCCTATTAAAAGTCAAATTCTCGTTTAAATCTAATAAAGAAAGGTCATTCCTAATATTTTCTAACCTAATTGTATGAACAAAAAAATATAAAAATAGTTTAAATATATATTGATCTTCCTTGGTATGGATTTAACCAAAATTAGAAGCTTTTTTTTTTATGCATCTTCCTTACCATCAGGAATCGTGAATTGAACTATTTTAGCAAATCCACAGTCCAGAATAGCTTTATTTTTTAATAGTAGAATGATTTTATAAAGCCATATAGTCTTACAATGGCCCATTGCAGAAGCCTTTGACAATTGATATAGTGCTGGTCAATTCTACTTTTGTCAAGTTATCCCCTTCCAAGATAAGGGATTTGTTGCTGCATAATGCCAAAATTTGATAATTTTGGATTGTCTTCCATAGAAAATAACATGGACATGCACAGCAATAAGACTTATCCTCTGCATACTATACTTGTAGCCCGGGTAACAACTATAACCATGTGAAGATTCACACTTACATGATAAGTAGAGAAAGGCTCAGCAAACTTCAAAAGAAATGGCAGAAATCTTCAATGGTAAAAGCACAAATGGTTTGTTGCTGTTAGTCGCCCTGAAATTCACAACAAACAATCAGTTGTATGCAGCCCTACATGGAAGATTCCTGATAATAAGTAAACAATGTGTTTGGTTTTTACTAAAAATCAAGGAACCAATTAAACTGGAAATAATACCTCATATTTTTCATTATTCTTCCATTACAGGACTTAGATTGTATGGAGCACCATCACTAAAACTTGAATCTCAAGGCTTTACTAAGGTTATATGCTTGCTAAGGCTATCCAATTGTTATGATAAACACCACATAATTCTAATCCTAACAATTCAGGGTTGGCTTTACGTATACTCATCTACTGGCAAAGGCTAACCACCAGCAGCAGCAATTAATAATGTCTAAATAGAGCATAAATTTCACATGGAAGGCTCTGATGAATACCTCAATGTCCTTCATCAATAAGCCCAAAAAGATTAATGCATTGATTACCAATTTAGAATACCTAATTAAACTTGTTCAGCCAAAGCCACTTAAAAATGACTGAATAAAATCTTATGCCTATCAAAAAAAAATCCCACGAGAATTCAAAGCTCTGCACGTGTTTAATAGAATGTTTTATGGCTTCCTGGTTAAGTTGGAGAGCTCAAGTACATCATCATGAAAACATGAATTTGCCTATGTGACATAGATAAAGTGCATACCAAATGTGGAAGCTTTGCATAATCATCCATAGCTGAATCAGAAAAGTTGGCTTGAGGGGCACATGCCCCCTAAAAATACAAAATCCTTATAATTCTATAGAATATTTTATGTTGCGACCTCAATATTATTTATGTTTATGGTATGTTCATAGAAAAAAATCAATTGTGTGCTACCTTTAAAATATCTGAGCTAAGCCACTCGGCATAGCTCAATTATTGTTTCCTCTTGTATGCTCCCACAAAATAAAGAGAACACCGCACTTAAAAAAATTTCCTCTTGATAAATTTTTTTTTTCTTAAGTTCCCTCTTGATAAATGAAAACATAGGTGGCCTAGAACTTGGATGCAAGAGGAAGAAGTAAAGAAAGTCCCTATGTCTATCTAATTTTCACACAAATGCACATTTTAAGTGTTATATATAATATCATGACCCTATTTTTAATTAATGTATTGGTTATTTAGATTTGATAATAATTCCAATTCTACTATTATCATTGTATTTTGTTAAGAACGTGAATGCTTAAATACCAAATCATTGCATAAAAGAGAACTTGTTGGATGGTTAATGCAACTCGAATGTGCATTCATAGGTTTTTAGCAGGTCACAATGAGACAACACGAACCTCGTTGACCTCAGCAATGAGGACTTGCCTAAGGGAAATCATCCTCAACTTGGCAAAGCTACAAATAGGAGTCACCTCTAAAGAAAACATTGTGGGTTCACACGTACTTCTTAGATTAGGACTCACCCCTCCTATAAGAAGCACACTCCCAAGGAAGCTCTCCATTACCTCGGGTGATTGGCCATTAATGCCATCCTTCAGCCTAGCTAATGCTCAACTAACCATGGAGTCCACTAACCTTACAACTCAAAGAAACAGGCTCCTGAGATCAAGGAAGCTCAAGGACTCCTTCCAAAAGGTCGCCAACAGCACCAAAGGACTCATCGACATATAGTCCTTCCTACTTGATCCGCAGAGATCTCACCTCCTTCAACTCGCCCATGAATACTCAACATAAGGGAACTTTCCCTGAGACTAAGGACTTAGATCAACACGAAATAGTCATTCATAGCACCTATCAAAGGATGACATATGTCCATGGTAGTACTTATTGCATCTCATTTATTATTGTACTTAATCTTTTTTGGTGTAGTCTTCCCTGTAACCCTCATATCCCTATAAATATAGAGCAAAAAAGCACATTTTAACGACAATATTGAGCTAGTGATAAACTTTCCCCAAATCCTTTTCTTCTCTTTCCACACTCACTATAGGTTATTGGGTCTCAACTTCTCAAGCTTGCTTGCTAATAAGGTCAAGTGTCACCCACGGACAAACACCGATCCAATAGTAAATAAATATATTATATTTTGTTGTTTCTTATCTATACCTCCCCATCTATCTTATTATTCATCTTCTGGTTTAGATCATCACTCCCTCTCCATAATTCTCTCTAGATATTCCAAATATATCATTATTATGCCTCTCTTACTTACTATCTCTCCAAAAAAAAACTCCTTTATTCACTATCCTCTACCCGTGACAACATGAGAAATGAAAAAATATGAATATAATTCTCCAAACTCTTTGACATTGCAGTGTGGATGAGAGGGATTGAGAGGCCAATGACGGAGGAGAGATTGAGAGAGCTGAGATTGAGATGGTACAAAAAGATAGCAAGAGAGAGGAATATGGATTAGATAAGAGAGAGAGAGAGAAAGAGAGGGAGGGAGAGAGGGGGATTTTGATTAGTAGAGAGAGTTAGAGATGACAAATGAAAATAGGTGCAAAAGAAAGTGAAGGGGGTTGAAAAGGAGAGATTGGACAAGTAAAACAATAGCACTTGCATTCATCTGGACATCCTCAACTATGCTTTTGAAACACAATCCATACTATTTTTATTTCTTCCTTGCAAATCCTTTTCATCCTATATTTATACCCTTTTTTTGCACTGTTAATTCTGTATCCATCACTCAATTACCCCATATTCATCGTCATTTTGATCTCACAAGCTATTTTCACATTTGATGCAATTTGCATCGTTTACTCAACTTGATTCAAACCTATTTCTAGTTTCCTGCAATAAAAAGGGTTTGTTTGATTCTTAACTCAAGCGTCAACCAATATGAGTCAAAACTCAATCATTTAAAACTGGGTAGGAAAACACGACAGTTATTAGCTTTTAATAATCATAGAAAGAGAAGATCCTAAAACCCTTAATGTGCAGAGCTACAAGTTGGAATGCCAATACAGGAAGCTGTGATTGTAAGCCTACAAAATATGACTACTTTACTTGTTTGAAGTTGGCCATGAGTTCTCAAATAAGTTAAGTGGTTTAGGTTTTGTGAATTTCCGGAGAATGCTAACGTCATAGTATAGAGTAGCAAATGCCTTCAAAAGCAATAAGCTATGCGATAAACAACCACCTTAATTATCAAATTGTGGTTTCATGCAGCCATAGTATAAAATTCTTTTAATATTGTAATAAAAAATTATATAATTCATAGCAAAGCTCCTTCAACAAGTTAAATTTTAAAATAATAGCATTAGCTTCCAGATTTACTACCATTAGTAAAGATGGAAAAATATAACTGACCGTTACTTCCCTCCTTGACAGCATATCAAGCTCAGTCTTCAAAGGGGAGCCATCCTGTCCATTGTTCTTCCCATATAACCTCTTCATGGCTAGTTTAGCAATTTGTAACTGTGTTTTCGAAATAATCTCTGTCCTCTTTAGCTCCATCTCCCATTTCTTAATCTCCGCCTCCGCCCTAAGCTTCTCAGAATCCTTAAACAGTTCCATCCTTCCCTGCTCAATCTTTAATATGGAATGAGCTAGAAACTGAATGCTCTCTGCGATCTCATTTCCCAATCCCCTTCTCTTTTTCGAAATTCTACCATCCCCCACCACCTCCTTTAACCTTGAAGTACTAACATCACCATCACTCCCTCTACTCTCCTTCATCTCATCATTCATTTTCTGTCCACCAAAACCTTTTGCCGAACTATTGGATCCGTGTTCCCGGTGGCTTTCATGCAAATTCCCACCACCCACCTCCACATCAACCTCTTCCACCTTAGCAGGAACCCCCGAATCGAAGTTGTTTTTTCGATTATTATCGGATTTCGGCGTGCTAGGGCAATGAGAAGCGCCCTTGAGCAATCCATCCATGCGAGTGAAGAACTGCCAGGAAGAGCACGAGCTAGGATTTTCAGCTGCTGCGGCAGCCTCGGCACGGTACCGTTTCTTCATGGACTCGATCTTGTTCTTGCACTGGCTGGGTGTCTTGAGAGCATTGGAGGTGGAGCATCGGATCGAGACCTGGCGGGCGATGTCTTCCCAATCACTGCCTTTCAGTTTGGCGCGGTTACGAATTAGCCACTTGGATTCATAGATCTCTAAGAGCGATAGAACCCCGCCCTCACTCCACTCATCCCTCTTACCCTTGCTGGCGTGGAGGAAGGCGCCGTCCATGGCGATGCAGAGCGCGGATTTTGTACCGAACAGGGGAGCTCATGCTTGAAAAGAGATCATAGTTTTGGCGACTGGTGGAGAATTTAACAGAGCAGGAACGGATAATCCATGGCGGGGAGTTGGAGAAATGCCATCTTAGCAAGCGGGAATGGAATCTGACTACAGAATAGTTGGATTAAAGCGGAGAGAAGAACGGAAGCGGAACGGGTGTGGGACTGGAAGAAGAGCGAGAATACATAGGAAACGCGCGCAACGGAGTACATAAGGAGGACAGGTGGTGATATCTGAGCCGTTGAATGAGGACGGGTTCTTGTCAGGGCGCAATAGCGCGGGAGTGGATTTTGACGTCATTCGGATATATTGCTGAACCCGACCGCCGCAACTGTTTTGCGGTTAGGAGGTCAACTAGTTCAGTGCGTGACTCTTTAATTGATGCTGCTGCTTATTAGGGATAAGTACTAACTTTATATTATGATTTATTCATTTTATTTTTATCCATTTCTTATTGATTTGTGTGCTTGAAAAATTTTTCACAAATAAAAATGAGAGATCTATGCACTTAATTTTTTGGATGTGAAATCTGGCTTTATATCTCATAGTAGAATTGATATATCATCAAATAAAATTTCATGATCGGGCATGAATCTCAAGGCAATTTTAAGTTGGAAATTTCTGAGATTAAAATTGGGACCATTCGAACTCTGATTTCAGCAAACTTACAGTTGAACTGAATGTCTTGAGAATATGAACCCAACGACACCAAATTCGACTCAATATGAGCCCAAATGACTCCAAATCATGGACCCAAAGCGCTAGTGGAAGGTTCCAATCACAATTTGGATTACCAAAAGGTTTCCAAATGTGATGCCTCAGGATCTAAATTAGAATAATTATTCATTTATCTTTTAATAAATAAAAATCATAACTATCTAATATCATCTATCAGCAATAAACAACAAAACAGATTCTATAATTTAAAACATTAATGTACACATCTGTATTCATTTCAAAAATTATGAAAAAATTCATGTAAGTAAAATACTACGATCAAAATACTATGACAAAGATGGATTGCGATTTGGAGTTATAATGATTCTAGAAAAAAAAATTTGACAAAGTCAAAATACGTGCTATCATAATCTACCCACCTTAAGAAAATATCGTCCTCAACATTTCCCTTAAGGATTCGAGCATAAAATCAATATCAATCAAATACGTACAATCAAAAGTCAAATCAAAATTAAATCAAAACTCATCAAAAATCATACAGTCATGTAGTTCATTCTATCACATGTCATTCAATTATGCATGTAAAATAATGCACATTAATCTACCTAACTCTCAATCAATTCCTACAGCTCTAGTAATAATTAATTCAACAACTATGCTCTGATACCAATTGTGAGGTCATAAAATCTAATTTAGAAGAATTATTCTTATAATCTCTTAATAAACAACAACCATAACTATATAATATCATCTATCAAACAGTAAAACATATTCTATAATTTAAAACATCAATATATACATATATATTCATTTCTAAAAATCATATATACTACTTATGATATACAATCATATCACAATTACTATGTCCTGAATGCAAAAGAATAACTAAAATAAAAAGAACTTGAATCTGAAGAAATCCCAACAAACCTAACACTCATGCTTTCCTACCCTGACCTAAAATTATTTAACCATATATAATGAGCTTAAAAAGCTCAGCATGTCACCAAAACCTATAACTGAATTCAAAGCACGATAAAGGATCAATATGCATGCCAACAGTTAAATCATAAAAGTTGTATTCATATGATCATTGAATCAGTGCATAAATAATAAATCTCAAACACAATAGCAATATAATTTGTGAACAATAAAACACTATGGTACATAAGTTAGTAAAGTTATAAACTAGTACGAGTGTCAAATCTATAAAGTAATCGTCGTATATGTAATACCAATCAGTACATAAATCATATAAAGCATCCAATCAAAATTATTAGTAAAGATTGTCAAAATCAAATTAATGTAATAAAATCATATAGGAATGTACACATGATATTCATGTATTATATATCACGTGCTCAATATATTACATGCTTAATATTAATACAGTGAATTAGTATTATTAAATAGTATCAATATCTAAATCAGTAACAATAATAATCTAGTGACAGAAGAAGTAGAATAATACAATAATAGTAAATATATACAGTACTAATAAATTCATACATGATAAAAATAATGTCTCAAAACATGTATTTCAGTAGTCACACTAAATAAGTAAGAAGTTCTGATTATCACGGTGTTTTTCAGTGTTAGTATCAAAAGTAGTAAAGTATTGGCTTAGTAAATATAACTCCTAATTAGTGTATCACATGAATTAGTAGAGGATAACACCAAATCATAGTATTTAAAGGAAAGCTCATCAGCCCACCATCCTGTTAATGTCATTCATTCTCCAATCAATGGTCACCAGTCTTCACTTGTTTGATTTTGACAGTCTTTACCAATAATTTTGATTTGATGCTTTATAAAAAAATCATAGCTATAATGTTGGGGGTAACAATGCGACTTTATGCTCCCCAGTGGGGAGCGTTGAGATATTGAGGGTTTAGATGCCACGGTGCTAGGTCCAAATTTTATAAAAATATCAATTTTCACTCATTTTGTTTTAATTAAAAATTATTTCTTCTTCAAAGGCAACTAGCTAGCGAGCGAATAATTTTTAAAGAGAGAGTTAGGATTTAGGCAACTCTGATTCATTTATACTAGTGATCCAATTTGAGAAGTTGTATGGATTAAAATTGGTTATTTTTTTACTATTTCAATTTTCAAAAAAAAAAAAATTTAGTTTTTTGGATTTAATTTATAAATGAGAATAATTATACATCTATTAAATTTTCACCTTATAACTTTATGTATGTTGTAGATATGATTATTATGGATATTTAGGTCTTTAAAAAAACTTCTCTTGCTAATTTAAAAAGTGCTCCATATTTATCAAATTAGAAAATAATTTTAATCCTAACAAAATTGTATTACAATTAAAACTTCAATGCAAGGAGTTATAAGGCTTAAATTTATGAATATGATATATGCTAAGGATTGAAAGTTATAAGAGTATATTTTCTCATATGCTATGAAGTCATAAATGTTTGAATTTTGATATTTACTTCTCATGGGAGGTATAAGGGAGTGAGGAATTTTGTTACTTTCTACTCTAACATATGAAGTACTTGTTTATTTACTTCAACTCAAATTTTATTTAATATTATTAATTATTAGCATTATTTTGCTAAGTACAATAACCTACCATTAACTACTTTTATTTCAATAAATGCATAGTGTGTTAATTATTGAGAATTGAGGTTGATAGTGTGACCTATTGAGCTGTATTGGCTCACACTTACTCTGCATTTTATTTTAGGTAGAGTAATGAGTAGCTTGAGTAGTTGAGGTTGCAGGTTTTGATTGGTTTTAGTTTGTATATATATTTTCTGAGATTTTGGTACAATCATGGCTCTTTTATTTATTTCCTTTGTTCTAGTATGTAGAAATATAATATATTCTATAAGTTGTTGTAAATAATTTTTGAAGATGAATGAAAGGAAATAAATTATGAATGAGTTTTTTTTTTGTTTACTAGAAGTTAATTAGAAGCTCTATTATCTATTTTAAATTGCAACAATCTGAAAAGTTTTCAAAATTTAGATCTTGGGCTTGGTCTATCATCATTCAAAATGTCTTGTTTGTAAGCATATTAGGTTAGGTTGTGACATATAATAGAGTACAAACTAACCACTATAAAATATCGCAATGACAAGCATTACATCATTGCACAACAAATAAGTGATATTATTTCATGAATTAAATTAAATCTATGCAAATATAATATTCTTATAATCACAAGAATAATAAGATTAAAACTGTTATGAAAGTGATGGGTGCTTAACCTCGTAAGTAATTTTGGTTATAACCTCTCACTTCATAGTAACTACACCTATGTTATACCATATTCTTCTCCATCTTTGAAAGCTTTCTATTTTTCCTTGAATGGCTACTCTTTAGCTTCATTAGTAGAGTTAATATGGCAATTCTTTTTATCTAATATGGAACCTCCTAGCTGCATTCACTTTAGATAGGATATATGATTTTAACATATATACATAACCATGCTTGATGGATATAGAATTTTTAACATAAATTATAATAACAAATAGCCTAATTTTGAGCTATAATCAATACATGGTCACAACTAAGACCCATAACAACGAATATTCTGCATGTAGATGTCTTATCCTACAAATAAACATCACTATTAAGATCACCATCAATGAGTAATTAATATTGAATAATATAAGGTATATAATAAAAAAATTAAGCCTTATTCAGGAGTTTCCTTAGTACTTTTTAAAAATTTCCTTTATCAAAATTATTTTTATCACGGTGATGGTGTATTCATCCAATAACTAATTTTACATTGTGAGCCTCAAAATATCTTGTAAAACAGTCACATAATAAGATCATGAACTCTGGAAAAATATTTTTGAAGCCACATAATAAGGGAAGAAGTATGAACCCACATCTCAAACTCACTTCATTTTTTATATATGCATTATGGTTAGGTTTTTGACACATTTTATCAAAACAATTATATAACTAATTTTTTATATAAGCCTTTGAAGCCAAGTGATATTCCTTATGAGAACTATTAATTTTAAAAAATTTCATGATACTCATTGCAACATAATGAGTGCAAGTTTCACAATGTGACTCCATGAAAATGGATGATAAGTCATTAGCGATATTATTATGTATTAAGAGTTAAACACTAAATTATTTGCTCTGCTTATTAACTTCCTCAATCTATTCATGAAATGCATCCATGACACTTCATTTTAAGTCAATAATACAAATATCACCAAATAAATATGATTACTACAAGCAGTAGATTGTGGAATCAATATCATATATAGCTTGTATGTCCACAACATCACTTACTTTTACTTGTCATATATTCACATCATCACCCACACTTGAGGAAGATGATGATATGATTCCTTATTTTCATACAAAATTGGATCTTAAATCTTTGTAGAATAAATGGACATACATTTGGAAGGTTAGTGTTGAATGTGTAAGGATATCTGCTTCAAGAAAAAAAAAAGAGATAGTAATTCATAAGTAGCTTAGTTGGATAGATTGAAATTGTG